CCATCACGGTAAGAATCCGTGTGCTTCCAAACCTTCTTGTTGAAACCATCGATACCACCATGGAGACAATGGTCCCCGTCATTGACTGTCAACTGATACTCCTTACCATCAACTGTCATACGGCCATTCAGAATCCTATTAGCATACCTGCAAAACATGATACCATTGGCAACACTTAGCACTGAAAAGTGACACTTACCTTCCTACACCACAGCACAGGTAGAGAGTGTCGTGAAGGTACTTCGTCCAATCATGGTCGTAGTTAAGATTGACCGCAGAAAACTTCCCATCACGATCAGGAGTCTCGAGACTGAGAATGTAGAGTCCGTACTCTGCAATGGTCACTCTGATCTTGTCGTTAGAAAGCGTAACAATTTGACTATTTTCCAAATCTACAACTGAATTGCAGTCAACGGAATAGCACTCCATAATAGAAATCGAGTAAAAAAAGGAACAACTGAGAAGATGCATGAAAGACTCACATTGCAGTAGAAATGATCACCGACGAAATACTACCAATGACCAATTCAGCTGCACAGCGTAAGCGCTAGATACGGACATCGAGAGGGAAGATTTGTTATTGACACAATATGGGACACCGCTGAGTGACAATCCATCTATAAGGTAGTACTATCTCAACAACTTCCATAAACCTCCACGGGGACGGTGGTTGTAGGGAGGCTCAATATATTCCAATAAAGTTTGTTTCGTAGCTCTTAGTTTACTCTGACTGGGGCGCCTATGCCATTCCAAGCTATGCCTTAATACAGGGGAGGTACAGCATTTAGGATACCCTACTGCGGAGTATTGAGAGCTGAGGGTTAGACGGACGCAATCTTGCCAGTCGGGTTGGCGCGGATGAAATGGGAGGCAAGTTCGGAATTAACACATTTATACTTCACCGACTAGAGATTTGGGGGCGGCTATGCCACTGCCCCCAAGATATGCCTTAGTACAATCAAATTCTCCGACTGGGGCGATATGCACGACCCAAAGATATGCCTTAGTACAATCAATCTCTCCGGTGGGGGGCGGCTATGCCACCACCCTAGGATGCGCCTTAACACTACCAATTTCCTCGACTAGGGCAGCTATGCCACTACTCCAAGATATGCCTTGGTGCAATGGGACAGGCGGATCAATTCCGCCAGCTCGTGATGTGCTGATAGATACTCCTGATCACCTCCGATGAGCTTGACAGAGTATAGGATGGACACCAGTCGAGGTTTGGCATATCTGCCCCTCGAATTGAACCGGAATCCAACCAACAGCGAAACTCATTTTTGCAAAACGTCAAAACTACAGCTAGTTCAATCGTACCGACAGAACTGCTCGTTTATATTCCTCCGCGCGCCACAAGTATATAATATGCCTGCTAGGGAGCTATGGCATAGCTGCCCCAGTCTCCAATGGTTAAAATCAATCGTAATGATCGGGGCGTGCGCGTATGTCCTTCATTCAGCGCTCGCCCCAAACTCGCTGTCGCGTGCTGTCCCATGTTACAGTAGAGTATTTTGGAAGTACATCTTTGCCCGCAAGTGAGTGAGTTGGTCTCACTTAAAACTTGTGCAAATAGCTCAGCGTCTTCACTGGGATGAGGGAAGACCTTAGTTTTGATTCAAAACTGGGTTCAATAGGTTCAAAACTTTTGAGGCTATTGAACCCAACTATCCGGGCTTTCACACGATGGAATTAACTCGTGTAGGTAGTTTTCATCTCACTCCAGAATGCCTCCAAAGAAGGCTAAAAAAGGAAAGAAAAGCACCGCTAATGCCAACAAGGCCAACAGTACTGGCAGATGTCGGACGTTTCAGCCGTCCTCATATAGTTTCCTCTTCGTCTCGTCGAAACTATTCTACATCTTATGGTCATACGCGTGTTCGTTCTGAAATAATTATCTTCGTAATGTAGCGACTATCAGGACAGTCAACTCCAACGATGTCGATATAATCCGCTCTGTCAACAATCCTCTAGAATCTGATCATTGAAATTACTGCTAAATTTTCTTTTGAGTGATACGTAATATAACTTCTTTTGTTCAGAAGTCGACCCTGAGGAGGCCGCGAGGTTATTGGCGCTGCAAAAAGAGGCTCGGCAAATTCGCGAAGAATATATAGTAGGCATAACAACGCAGTTGTAACCGAACGGATAAACTCTCAGGACGACGAGAAACAGTACAATCAGCTTTTACATGAACGAGAGAAAATAAACTACTTCTGGACGTGTAAGAGGTCACTTGGACTGATACTAAAACTGGGGCGAGCTTTTAGCGTAGTCTTTGCCACACCTCGTTTTAATGCTGTACCTCACTCACTGTTTTTCAAAGTGTTCGTGTTGCTCGATTTTGTTGTTGATTAGAATCGGGCGAACATATCATTTCTGATAAGGTGCGAAAAGGACCCGAGATGAACGAGAAGCGGAGCTTCGTAACAGGGAGCGAGGACTCGAGGATCTCCAAGAGCGACAACAGATCGAATTGAAGGTTCTTCAGCAGGTTGGCACAATTTTCTGTGACCATCCACGTGAATTGCTTGGTTTCTAGCGACTAAAACACCTCCGGTTTCACCTTGTAGACGAAACGATTGAGCAGAGGATCTCTAATGAGAGGATATCTCAACAGCACGCTGAGAAAGAGCATTTGTGAGTCGCGATTTGACTCGGCGCAGTGACTTCCTCACCTCGCACGCCTCGTGAACACGAAGCGTTCACAACGGTACGGCAGACCCACGTTGAAGTGAGGGAAGC